TTTTTGCACCAACTTATCAGTCAAAATGGAAGGTCTTCCACTCCTCTGTTTGTCATGAACATTTGTTCTACCTCCACTAAACTTTCTACACCACTGAAACACAATCGTTCTGTTCATAACACCTTCGCTGTAAACCATTTTGATTTGCGAAAAAATTTCGGTAGGTGTTATTCTTTCCGCAAGTAGGAAGCGAATCACAGCACATGGCTTGCACGTGGCGAGATTTCTTACCAACGTCTTTCACGCAACTGGACACTACAATGTGAGTTTACATACTACAATGTTCCTACGATGCTCGCTCCGTCAGGAGATCTCTCTCTACCACTTAGTGTTGCTAACCCTCAAAAAACAAAAAATCACAGCCCATTACTGTCATAGTACACTTACTTTCTGAACATGCCTCGTACATCCCAAAAATTTGTCTTTATTTGGTAAAGAAATGTCTCAGAGTAAGCAGACAATTTCAGATATTTGGAAAGCAAGAGAAAAACTACAACAGGCTTTTCTTAAACACAAAAGTTCTACCAAAAAGGTAAAGGGTAAAATATTATACTATCCACTATACAGTGACTGCATAATATGATAAAATTTTAAATTAAGAAAAGTACAGTTAGTAAAAGGGGGTGAGACCTTCTCAGAGGTATACTCCTGAAAGAAGGGAAGGAGGTGTCAGGAGGTTGGATAAGGATAGGAGGAGAGGGAGGGGGGATCAGGGAATGGTAATAGAAGGGAGAAGAGAAGGAAGGGTGCCTGCTGGGATTCGTTTATTAAAACATAGAATTACATAATTGCAATTTATAATGCCTGTACATAAGGACTAGTAGATGATACACCTGAATGATAACTGGCACCGTGGTTGGTCTTACATTACAATTGAAGGCATAGGATGGGTGCTGAAAAGTGTTATGAGGAAGGAATAGCACCCTTATGGAGGTATCCGAATAAGTCCTAGAAGAATGTGGTTCTTTGTTGTCAAAAGAACAAAGAACAGAATGAAAGAGTTAAGTCCTGGAGTTATTGAATCTGGTCATACCTATTCTGTGAGTTAGCTGGTGTATTGTCTTGGGTAGCAGTTGGGAGATGATAGTCTGCTAACTTTAGGTTGTTCATGAATTTGACGAATTTGGTGTATATGTCCTTGTCCTCGAGGAATGCGCTGTGGTGGCAGGGCCAGTTGTGCCCTTTTTGGGTTGTCAGGTCTCTTAGTTGTTGACGATGTTGACTGAACTTGGTAAAAGTAAATATGAGATGGAAAGGGTCATCCCTCTCCCTTTTTTATTCATTGTTTAGCAAACACTTTAATTTTACAGTTATTTTTTTCATGTATACAATTTTGATGCAGTGACACTTTCCTTGAAGTTGAAAACCAGTGTAATTGAGATCCATTCTAACATGGTCTGTTATATCAAGCTTTTACTGTATATACATTTCACTAAACATAAAAAAAGTGCAGTAATTTCTAACAAATTTATTACTTATAAAGGAAGTAATAAAAAAAAATATAACTTTTTTAAAATTTCAAAAAAATGTATATTTGTTAATTTATCTTAAGTTTCAATATTATTTACAGACCATGTATATATTAAAGTAATAAAACTTTTTCTGTAAATATCTGTATTCATAATTAATTGACAAATCAACTCTGCCTCCTCCAAAATAGTCTTCTTGGGAACTGACACAATGCCTGAGATGTTGCTTCCACTGTTCATAGTAGTGCTGGAATGCAGAAAGTGGAATGGCCTTCAACTGGTTGGTTACAGCCTGTTTTATGTTTTTTGTCATGCCAAAATGATACCCTTTGAGGTGTTTGTTTCAGTCTGGGGAAGAGAAAGTAATTGCACAGACTCATGTCAGGCGAATATGGGGCTGAGGAACAACAGGAATATTTTTCCATGTCAAAAACTCTGTAATTGAAAGTGCCGTGTGACAAGAATCATTATCATGATGCAGCATCCAGGTCTCTTTGATGTTTGGCCTCACGTGAGCAACACATTTTCATAGCCTTTCAAGAACCTCACAGAAAAAATTTGTGCATCAAGGACAGTCTGTCCTTGAGGCACAAATTCTTTATGAGCAATTCCATTGATGTCAAAGAAGCACATGAGCATGAGTTTGATCTTTGATTTGCTCATTCTTGCTTTCTTCAGCCATGGGAAGGTTGCTGTGTGCCACTTCTCACTTTGAGTATGATCCAGAAACAAAACGCTAAAGATCCATGTTTCATTCATTAACTGTAATGATGTTTGTGAGGAACATTGTTCGTAACTATGTTGCCTCATTTTCCGAACACACAATAAAATATCACTTTAACTAGTGCACTGTGAGTGCACATTTTGCAAAGTGACAAGGTTTTCACTTAACTGAAGCTATATGGCATGTTGTCCTTACACCACTGGCAAGAAGAACCGCACAGTGTTGCCAGATTGTTCACTATGAAACTAGTCTCACTACCATTTCTTCTATTACACTATCATTTCATGAAATAACAGAACAATAAGTAGGAATTAAGTGAGTAAATAAGAAATAACATGAACAAATTTTTAGTACAATGTCTGTAAAAAAAAATATTTTTTTTTACAGACATTGTACTAAAAATACAAAAAATTAACTCTCATAAACCTTAAAAGTCCAGCATTGATACCTTTAATAGAAAACAAACATTTTTGACCGTACTCCGGTCTTCTTCAGGTTTGTAAAACCAGTGGGAATAGAACTTGTGAATGCAAAGAACAAAATTATGAAGTGTTTTTTTTTTTTTTTAATATGGAACAGGATGTATACAGATTGATTTTAAACATATGGAATATTCCAGGCATGTGTAGAAAAACAGTTATGTGCATGAGTTACCATGGCAACAGAATGATAGCGGTAACAAAAACATTGATGTAAACAAAAAGGAGGGAGGGGTGTTGTGGTTACTAACTGCTGATGTATGTGTTGCCCGTTTGTTCATAGCAGTACTTCCATGCGTGAGACACATTGATGGCATCATTCGAGTTAATACAATTGGCATGTAATCCAGCTTTGTAAATTTCAAAGCCTCCAGGTTTCGAAGGTGTTCAACCCGGTGAGATGGTCTGGTCAGTTTGGCATCCTGGAGGTCAGCTAATATGTAAAGGTCCGTGGTTATAGGTGGATAGGGTGGTGTGTCTTCTATTATCGATGTCATATTTGTGTTCCTGTAATCTTTTACTAAGAGAGTGCTTCATGTACCCAATGTAAACCAAATTCCTTTGAAACCTGTTGTCCCTAAGAGGAACCGGTGCGTGATTTTTATTGATCTTGGACTTTTAAGGTTTACGAGTATTAGTTGTTATACAAAAAATTATTTTGTTCATATGTTATTTATTATTTAATCACTTAATTCCTACTCATTGTTCTGTTATTTCATGAAATGGTAGTGTAATACAGGTAACCCCATATAACACGGTAGTTACGTTCCAAAAAATTGCCGTGTTATGCGAAACAAAGAATTAGTACGAAAAGGAGGGTTAGGTTCCAAAAATTAAAAAACATGCTACTATATTTTCATAATTAAGATAAATATCTTTATTAAAATTTTCTTAAGTGATACATTTTAATATAAACAATGTTTTCTTTGTCATCACTAAAAACACTATTAACCGAGAGCGTTTTATTTTTGGCAAGTTATCGTTATCCTCTGAGCATTTTTCTGCATTATTTTCAGATTCATGCTTTACCTTTTGCAAAAAGTGTATGTAATTTTAGATTGCTTGTTCTAGTTAAAAGGTCTTTATAAATTTCCTTATATGGTGCTAAGCACTTATGAAGAATAAAGCAAGTATGGAATAAGGGAAAAACATTCGGCAACATCAGAAGCAGAAGCGTCGCGATCTGGCAACATAAGTACTAATAGTTCACGAAAATTATTATTTTCGTGAACTATTAGTACTTAAGTATGTAAAAATTTATTACATTTCATGTTGTACGAGAGTTTTACCCATTTCTCGAACCGCGTCAGAGTGAATCTATGCTATAAAAGTACAGTGTTATACGGGGGATGGTACCAATTCTCGAACCGTGTTAGAGTGAATCCGTGCTATAAAAGTACCGTGTTATACGGGGGATGGTACCAATTCTCGAACCGTGTTAGAGTGAATTCGTGCTATAGAAGTGCCATGTTATACGGGGGTTACCTGTACATGTAATATCTCCTCTCTAATCTGAACTTCCTAGGCCTCTTGAGCATAGTTCTATGAAAGACCACAGAGAGCTATGTCCATTTATGAAACATAAACCTAAAGAACCTTTTTTATCCTATTGTCAAAGGACTCAGAATTGTTGCCAGTTGGATTTCCAGGTTGCAGTAACTGCCAATAGATTACCAAATGTCACAAGCAGTTTAGTTTGAAGAAACATTTGCATCAGAAGATTGTTCATCATATTGGAAAAGCAACCAGCCATATACAAATAAACCAATAAACTTTACTAATCAAACAAACAGCTGAATTACTAATTTAATTAGCCTTTGTGTAGCATAATAATAAGATATTAAGAAATTTGGCTAGAGGTAGGCAGTTAAGCTGCCATCTTGTGTTAAATTAAATAATATAATATTAACCAATTTAATTTATCTCTAATTACATTTCAGAAGTCTGGCAACTTCAATAATCTGAGAGAATTCTTTGGTACCATGAATGTTAGATTAGAGTAGTTTGATTGTAGTTGTAAATATCTTTACAATTTAAAAACTTGAAAATTACACACAAATTTCTAAAACATATAAATTTTTAAAAAATTGTTGACAACAGGAATATCCTAAAACTGCCACATCAGCCTTTTTTTTGTGGTTACTCAACTGATTGAGAAATTCTGTGCACAACAAATAAGGATCTTATTCAATTGCATTCAAGCTTATAATTTATCATCATATTGATATTATATATATAAATCCTGCTGAATGCAATCAGTGACCAGTTGAGTAGAGGGTAATTGAATAAGATTTCTATTTGTTGTGTGCAGTGCCGTAAGTAGCCATTCCTGTGCCCTGTGCAAGAATTTGCATTTAGGCCTCTTAATTAATTATGTTTGGGAAAATAATAAACCAAATGCATGCATTTTTGGCTCCCCTTTCAAGAGGACTCTGTGTGGGTGCACCTGTTGCACCTGCCTAGTTATGGCACTGGTTGTGTGCACAGACTTCTCAAACATCTTAAATTTTTGAAACAGTTGAGTAGCTCTAAAAAAGAAGGTCAATGATTTCAGTTTTCTCGGATGTGTTCTTTATCAACAATTCTTAAAAAAAAGGATAATCCATATTATATTCTGAAAATCTTTCTTTATAAATATCATTCTTCTATATATTGTAAAGTCTTAATATTCTCTGTAGTATCTATTAATCAGCTGACTTCAAGAAGGCTTAAAAAATATTAGCATTTGGTAAATAACATTAATAAAAATAGTTAAATAAGCAAGTAATGAATTTAAAAAATTACCTTTATTGATTATAATTATTATTTACATCGATCAATAATGTATTCAGATTAACAGGTCTTTCAACATTTTCAGAGACTACAAGAATAGAACAGAAAATATACATAATTCACTAACTGCAAAATTACTTCATAATGAAAATAATTTTCTGAATAACATTTATTCAGAAAATTAGAATGAATTATTCAGAATAAAGCATTTAATGCTTCATTCCCAGAGCATATCACAAAATTAAAAAAAAAACATGAATACAGAACTAATATTCATATTATTTGAATTTGTTTTAAATAAACTTTCATTTGTTAGGAGTTTTTCCACAAAGTCCTTTTTTGTGGTTTCTCTTTTCTCTTCTTTATCCTTCTTAAGCATCTGAAAGTTGGTTCATTGACTCCACTCTTTTTATCTTGGCCTGTGTATCTCCATCTCTTGCCTAAGTAGACATCACCAGCCAAGATGAGAATCTAGAGTTCTAACTAGAGGGTGGCCAGAAAGATACTAGAAATTGCAAAATTGCTATACTTTTTGTAGTAATAATGCAATCATAATAAAATTTGTGTGCACGTGTGTACATCAGTCAATGAAATTTTATAATTCCTACTGACAGAAGCTAAAAGGACTACATCTCTCTGGGAAGTTCCAAGAGAGGCCACATGTGTAGTTGCAAAAGAAATGGCTAACCATTTGTCTGTTCAGGAATGAGTGCAGATTGCTGCACAGTATGAGATGTGGAGATCAGTGGTTGCTGTGCAGAGATGGTGGCATACAACAAAGGGATGTCATGCCACAATCCATACATAAACAAGCAAGAAATGCCATTCAGAGCAAATGACCACAAACTGGTTGCAGGTTCACAGTGGCTGTCCATCCACATCATGATCCCTGATCACTTGAGGAAGTTGGTGGGTGGTGCCAGTGCCTATGTTGAATTTTAAGGTATGCATCCATATTTCCATTTAATAAAATACATATAAAATAATTTTCATCAGCTTTGCATTAAACTATAGAAATTATAATGATTTCTTGGTGCCTAGTTACTTTCCACTCATCCTGTATATATGTTTATATATCTATAAATAAACTACTTACAACATTACTCAGTGTCCACATGTTATACAATCATTCAGGAGAGTTCTGTAAGTATCTTATCATGTCATGTCTTTCGTTCTTTATCCTCTTAGTCCCTATTTAAATTGAGTGTCCTTACAACCAAAAGGACAAGAATCCATATGAAAGGAAGTCTTGTTTGTGTCAGAAGGATGCTAAAGACAAAGGTCCCAGCAGTCCAAAAAACTACTACATATTCATCAGCTCTCAAAACACAGCTGTGACTTCTTTGTTAAAGTTTGATTGCTTTGAACTAGTTCAATTGTACTGATAGCAATTAACAGCACCTAATATTGTCATCTTCAGTCCACCAGTAATCTTAGTGGTCCTACAAAATAAGAATTTTCATTAATTTTTAATAAAATGAACATCCAAAATATTCACATTTTCAAAATTTAAATTTTGAGAATCATCTTAGTTTATAAATTTTCAAATAAGTTATAAGTATTAAATTAACAGGTCCAAAACCAGTTGGGTTCTAGAACAAATAAAATATGAATATATTATTTTATATGAATTTAAGTCTTAGTTCATAATGGCATATCTCCAATTTTTTAAAAATGAACAATCTGCCCATAATGGCATACACTCCAGAAATAAGAGCTTTGTATAATTGCTCCATCAAATACCTCATATTTCTGGAACCGTCATTGAAGGCACAACATTTACTGGTATGGAGTTTAGAAGGTATCATCTCAAACATTAAAATCCTATTTTTCCATTACATTTCATTGTAGATGAAGTTATAAAATAAATGTAACAAAAAATGAAATATGAAGTTTAGAAATTTTCTTCGTAGTGTATTAATAGCAAGGTTGCAGCCAAAGTTTTCATCTCTAAAATATGAATATCGAGTGCCACTTACAAGATTTCAATGTTCACATTTTAGAAATGAAAACTTCAGCCGCAACCTTGCTAATATTGTCTACAGATAAAGATAACTTTTTTATCATTCTGTATGCATTATTATTAAGTCTTATTTATCAAATTGTAATAAATATCATAATATTTAACATTTTACACTAACAGAAAAGTATTTCCTATTTTTTTGTTGTTTGGTAGTGACAGTAAAGATGTGCTGTTGTGGAAAGGACTGAGACATTTGTAATTTCAATTAGAGAATATAATAATAGTTGACAGATGCTATTTTAATTTTTGCTGTTTTGTAGATACTTGTCTTAGATCTGGAGCATAAGGCCTTTTAGCTTCTGTCAATAGTATTTTCTTAGGATAATGCCTCACATTAATTGGTGAAAAGTTTGACTTCCCAAAAAGTTAAGCACAGTTCTTGGATCATTACAAAGAAAATTCTGGTTCTGTATAATGTTTTCTGTTTACACTGTTCAGTACAGGTTTAGCTTTCTTACTTGAACTGGAGGTTGGGTAATTGAGGCTTGTTACTGTAAAGAAGCTTGATTAATTGCTTTCAACCTTTTTTCTATTACCTTGCTAGTCTCTAATTTCTTAATCTTTCTGTAAGAAGTGCTTTTCTCTCTCTCCTAAGATTTTTCTTACCAGCAAGCTTCTTTTCACTTGGAGTTGTTGATTTTGAATACACAACTCTATTCTCGTAAGTTATACGTAGGTCTTGTATGTGAGCAAAAATGTTCAAACAAAATATCACCACAATTTCAAATAGTAACTGTAATGACCATGCAGTATGAAAATGTTTCATATTTAACAATAATAATCATTTTGAACACTGTTGCTTCATTATGAGAAAGGTGTTACATATTTTCCTAGTCTTATGTTTAGCTAATTCTAAAAAAATTTTATCAAGTAATGTATTGGTAAGGACATACAATAAATATGCTTACCAGATTGTTTCCAAGCAGTTGTTAAGACTTAAAAATGTCTCTTTGCACTTGTACTTATAACCAGCTACAGACATGGCATTAAACATTTTCTAGACTCCTTTGCAGAATAAACTGAAAGCACTAAGTTGCCAAATTCTAATTTACATTGTTGCTGCAATTAGAGCAGACATTGTCGATACAATCTTCTTTTTTAGTAAAAATAAGTATTTATTAGAAATTATTTTATTTTACAATATTCTAAACATTTATATTAGAATACAATAAATGCTTGATTTATGAAAATTAAATACCAACTTCACAACTGTGTTTCAAAAAATTAATACTTGAAGAAAAACATAAGCCAATAAGTCTGTCAAACATAAAAATTGTTAATAATTGTTGGTCTAATTAGTTTTCAGTGTATGTCTTCCATTGTTCTGGAAAAATTAAGTCAGATATATATGAAACCATCAAATTCTAACATTACCAAAAATCGATCCATAAAATATACTTTGCTTAAAATTGTCACAACACTTTCTCTGTCATGAAAAAAAAAAAAAATAGAAACAGCAGCATTGGGAATTGATGAATTGTCACAAAATTTTTGAACAAGTGAGAAAGCTCCTTGCAATTTCTTAGGATAATGCCTCACATTAACTCCTTCCAATTTATATAAAAATAAATTGGAAAAATAAATAAATTATAAGCTAAATTTCAAAATTATTTTTGTGTATTGGGAAAAGTGTAATATTGAATCAGCTATTTTATAACAGCAGCAATCATATTACCTTAATTGATATTAAAAGAGCTTTACAGTTATTATAATTTAGTTTAATTTCATTAATTGTATAACCCAATTAATATACTTATGATTACTGTATTAAATTTAATTGGTAATTATTGTGATTATTATTAATATTTCCCTTAATATTGTTTTCAATCTAAATGAGATCAAGTTAATTTAAATACAGAAATGGTTTCAATTTGAATAACCTAATAAATTCAGAGTGATAATTAAACAAAATTATTTATTATAATTTATTATTAGAGTAAATCATGTAAGCATTTAAGATGCATTCATACTGTTGGAATAATAAACATTATGTAATGAAAATTGAAGAAGAGTTTATATCTCAAAGCATTCCAGATAAATTAAGCTTTATTTTCTGTGTTCTGTATGATAACAATAATTTTAAAAATTTATATTTGATGATAATGACAACAATTTTTATTAAATTGCAATAGACTTTTTATTCAAGTCTAGATTATTGTCTTTATCATTAGATTTATATTTGTAACAGTATTTAATAAAAAGTTTTCCTAATGTTTTCATTAAAATACTTCCATTAAATAAATAAACAAATTTAGTGTAGAAATTACCACCAAAATTCCACTCTTTTCTATTTGTCAGATAATATCCAAGCAATTTTCATAAATTCAGATTTTCTCCATATATATACTATATTTTTTTCTTGCACATAACTCTTCAATATATAACATAAAAGCTGGAACAGCATACAACTAACCATCACATACATTTCTTACTATAACCTTCTCCCATATGATTAAATCAAATAAGGAACACACTAACTTTACTCCTGCTACAGTAGGAGAAACAAAAGGTTAGTGTGTTTGTCATTTTGATTACTTGCTGCATTTATGGAAGAGTGGAACATTTAAGATTATAAATAATAATAATTGATATCAAACTTTGCAATTTTTAAGAGTTTTTGGAACCTATTTATTATATATATTAAAAATTGTATAAAAATATATATATATTAATTAAATTGTAAATCTTTAAATGCCATCACATAGCTTTGTGTTTTTCTAAAACAGAACAGTTCAAATAATATTTTGTTATTCCTATAGCTTAATAACCTAAAGCAGATACTTAAAAGGTACCAAAAATGTTTGTTTTTTTCTTTTTCCTTTTTTTTTTAATTGGCTGCTGGAAAAGTAAGATGTGTGGTAATTAGTTACATAAGTCTTCAACCAATCTAATCCTTTCCCAGTTTTTATATACTACTACTTTCTTTAACACTAGTTGTCAAAATCCTTTTCATAGCTCCTATAAACATTTTGTTTCTTTATTAAATGCCATCAACATATATCGTCTTGATTTAACTTACGTTCTCATGTTCTTTGAGAATACTAAATACTGAACCTGTTACCGGTGTAATTTGCGTGAAAAAATCTTCTTTCCACAAACGTTTTCCAGCTTTCCAACTAGCTCTTCTTCAGGTAGACAAAAAATTCCGACGAAAAACTTCGAAAAATGGAACATAGATATTTAAATAAAAAACCGAATCTAAAAATAGAATGCAGATGTTTAAACAAAAAATATGAAACTCGCATAACAAACGATCAGTACGATCAGGATGAACGTACACGCCTCCCAGTCACCTTTAACCCATATGTTAAAGCGATATACGCTGAGATCGCCGGAAAACAACAATTACAAATAGCCTATAGAAGATGCCCAACAATCTACGACATCCTCAGAAATGGAAAAGGCAGTCCGGTTCATAGCAGGCTTCCTGGCGTGTACTCTATCCCGCTGAAAGATAACAGATGTAACGAGAGCCTTGTCTATATCGGCTCAACCAAGCGATCTTTAAATACCAGAGTGCAAGAGCATCAAGCAGACCTTCGGCATGGGCGGTACACCACGGCTCTAACCACCTTTGCATCTGATCCCGATATAGAACCGGAGTTCGACAAAGCTGACATCATCGACACTACGCCCCACCTGGAACAACTAAAATGGCGGGAAGCTATATCCATCTGTAAGGCTAACCACCGGACCACATGTATAAATCGGAAGGATGAGATTAATCTTTCTATAGCGTGGCAGGCCCTCATAAACAACGATCTATAAATAGCAACATCAGCGCACGAATGCGCATAACCATCTTACTGATCGTTCGTTATGCGAGTTTCATATTTTTTGTTTAAACATCTGCATTCTATTTTTAGATTCGGTTTTTTTATTTAAATATCTACGTTCCATTTTTCGAAGTGTTTCATCGGAATTTTTTGTCTACCTGAAGAAGAGCTAGTTGGAAAGCTGGAAAACGTTTGTGGAAAGAAGATTTTTTCACGCAAATTACACCGGTAACAGGTTCAGTATTTAGTATTTCATCCCCGGTGTCAGAGTGAAGTTTAAGTTCTTTGAGAATTTGAGGAATGACAAAGAAACAAAAGATTCTTTGCTAAGTTGCATATTTTATTATAGACTTACAACTGATTGAAATGAAGTGGGATTCTTTACTTCATTATCTGCTTTTTTACAACCTTCTACAGACTTAGCTGTGTTCTTAGCAACTTTCAAAATATCTTTAAATTAATTTCATTAATTTAATTTCACCTCTTCAAGGAATTCCAATTATTCTTCTATCTTAAACAAATATTAATAAAAAATAATCCAATCTAACTTTGTCAGCTGATGCTAAATAGATCATCTTTTGTTTGGGTGTAAAAATCATAAAAAAATTAAATCTCAAGAACTCAAAGTTAAAAATGTTTTACT